AAACAAATTTATATGAGTCTTCGCACGAATTTTTCGATGGTAAAATTGGTACTGGCATATACGCCAAGGAATCTTACCTTCTTTGTAAGTAACCACTGAAAAAGGACACCTTTTATGCTGCCGGACAAGTTTGATTTTTGGCTGATATTATAGTGATTTTTAACTTTTATCAGTTACTTCGTATTTTTTGTATCAGTTTGAATTTTTGCAGAAATATATATGTGTAAAAATCGTAGGTGGATGGGGAAAAAAGGTAAAAAATTTGATTAATAAGAGGTAAAATTAATTGAAAATGGAAGCTAAAAAGCAAAAATTAATTTTTCTAAGAAGTGAATTTATTAATTGAATATGACAAATAAGTACATGTCCTGCGTATGACTATAGAAAAGAGAGGGAAAACATAAATCACGAAAGCACGATACACGATTAAAGAACTAAAATATTAACTATCCCCAAGCTATTTCTAGCTTTCTGCTTTTGTTCTACTGAACTTCACGTCGACTTCTCCAAGCTTTCCTGTCTGCCTCGATTTACCGCTTCGTTTCAGTTGTCACTTAATTTATAATCCACAAACACTGATTGCTGCTGCATCCTGTAACGGCTAATATTCGAAAACCCGTTCCAACAACACAGTCACCAAAAAACAGCATTTCCTCAAAAAATATATTTTTTGCAAAATGCGTTTAAATTTTTAGCTGTCTGTAAAATGTCTGTGTGTGTTTTGTGCGGTAAATTGCAGGCCCTGTTGGATGCGGACGCGCTGATAAGGATCTCCCGTTTTGAGGTACATGTTGCCGATGTCGCCCAAACAATGCTGCAGAAATTACCACCACCACCATCTGATCAGCATCACCGTTATCAGCTCCTCTCATCGTCATCATGATCGTTCGTCATTTTCATCTGTGCCACATTCTTTAACTGGCGAAATCCTGCCTCCTCGTTACGCGGGGATTTGCGACTTTAACTTTGGAAACAAGGATTTATCAGTTCCTGCAGAAATGAATGCGTCTGGAAGACGAAATCGACAATTCAGAGGCAGATCGGATCAGAATCCAGAAAGGATCATTTCCTTCACGACGAGCTTTCTTGCGCAGCTTCACGGAATCGTTATTGAAGAAATTTCATAAATTTAACGAATGAAATTTGGTAGCAACATAGAAATTCGCTCAATTCATTACGTTTTTTTCCAGTTAGAAAATACGCGACCCTTCAGTTGCTTTGACCAGTGCTGTACCGTCTAGTGGTCAGTCCACTGGCCATGCTGGCTTTCGTTTTGTCTCTTGAAATGATTACCAGCTTAGGATTCTCCCGACTGAAGCACTTTGACAAGGTTTCAGCAGTCATCCTTGATGCGTTTTAACCAAGCATCACTACCTCATTTCTAAGATTGTCACTCTTGGGCCACAGTGAAGTATCTTATCGACCAGGAGACAGTAATAAAAATGTTTGCACCCCCAAAGTACGCCATCAAAACGCTCTGCCCACGTAAAACACAGCAGCAACCAACTGATATACTCTGTATG